CCCATAACTCATATTTTTGTAATTTCATCTTATCGATTAACTTATCGACTAAATGTTTAAATAGCATCCAATTGATGAACCTATTGATTAATGTTTACAAAAATTTTACCATGGCAATATCGATTATAAATATTTATATAAATACGCTTGATTTGTGTGCTTGATTTGACCTGACCTGAATTGATATCTACTGTTTGCCTGTAGAATACACTTTCTACGTCTTACCAAGACTTGTTGATCGAGTTAGCTGAGTCGGAGACAACGGACCAGAATAGCCTAACGAGTGTCTGAATCATTGATCCTTCGTTCCGTTACGAATAAGCCGAATCAGTAGTAGAATTCAACCTTAACGAACCTAACATTAACATATGTTAAGTTGAAGTTTAAAAAATTCTCAACAAAACATACGGAATATTGTGGTGAATTGCCGTTCTGAAAAGCAGTGACCAGTGGAGTACTAACAGGTCTGTTGTGAGATAGTAACTCACTGATAACAATTGTGGACGGTGATGCACGTTCGTGGATTGGTTGAGGTTAGACATGGACACCGTTGGATGCCGGCTAGCTCAGTAGTCTAGTGGTTAAGCGTTCGCGCGCGAGATTGATGGGTCCTGGGTAGCAACCTGGCCGAACGGGATCGTGGATGCGCATTGCTGAGGAGTCCCATAGTAGGATGAAACAGCTGTCCAACCGTCTGCCCAGATCAAGGAGTGTACAAAATATATGTATTGGAAAATCTATTCTAGTATTTGACTTATTTAACTACTTTATATTTACTAACGTGGATTAATTCGATAAACATATATGAGAATGGTGAAAATGTATGTTTCTACAGTCAGATCCCTGACCACTAAAGTGGTGACCCCGTCGACAACATCATCCGATCTAAATGACGTCAAAATGAAGAGCCCCACTCAAATTTCTCCTAGGTGTTTTGGATATGAAAAATTGTGTTAATCATATCATAATAAAACCATTGGTAAAAATCTTAACACTATTTTATAATGAACTAGAGATTTATATCAAGGAAAATTATTTTCAATTTGTTTATATTATGAGAGAATCGTTAGTCAAAGATAATTTCATAATTTTTGGAGTTTCGGAGTTTTATTAATGAGCTGTTACCAGTGGATTTCAACTGTATCAGAGATAAGGCTTTCGTGCCTGTAGGTAACCCTCGTGCTATTGATAGAAGAAACCAGACTAGTAGTGAATACGTCTTTATTTAGATTTTCGTACAGTCACAGTGAAGTGTGTGATTACCTGTTCACACAAACAAAGCCTGTCAACATTCAATATAAGATAATAGGAAATATAACGCTTATACAAAATACGAAAGTGAATGAAAACTTCAACTCTATCGTTCTGACATATGCTTAGTTGTTTGATATCAACTCTTAACCAATCAACCTAAGCTGTTACAAGGCGAATGTCACTAAATAATTACACTTACACCATTGGATGAAAATACAAAGATATAAAAGTCTTGTATCTGATCCTTGATGGGGTTGTGAATGTGATATGTTGTGAAGTCCCATATTAGGACGAAACATATATCCAGTACTACTCTACTTCCAATGGTTATTCTTTACTTGAACTACTAAATTCAGTAATATCCACATTATCCTAGAATAACAGTAAAAATATTATTGGTTAGATAATAACATTACATAAGGTGGTAAATAGAAAACCATATGAATTTCAAGAGTATATATTCAATCGAATTCATTTTAAACTCACTAGTGACTAGCATCGTGAGAAAATTCTCGGAGTTCTGGTGAGAAGCCGTGACCAGTGGAGCTAATTCGTGTCGGGTAGAAACAGGTGTCTACCTCAGTACAATGGAAGACGGTCGTGCAATTTCGTGGATTGGTTGGGATTAGACATCAACACCGTTAGATGCAGCACATCTCAGTGGTCTAATGGTTAAGCGCTCGCGCACAAGACTGATAGGTCCTGCGCTAGAATATCGCGGGGGGCGGGACCGTGGATGCGCACTGCTGAGGAGTTTCATACTAGGACGAAACATCTGTCCAGTGCTCCCAGGTTTTCCAAGGTGGTCTAACTTCAATTGACTCATTTCAATCAAAAACTTAACAATCTCCACAACCCCTAAACTGATAATTAAGCAAATATGACGATATATATGAGATACAAATAGTATAACTTGTCTACCATTCATTACCATATTTCTATATCTATAGAGTATAGTAAGATATGAAAAAGGGGAACTAATTTTTTAACTATGATAATAAGGGAGATTTTTTATTCATCTAATGTATGTTATTAGGATAAATGATTGACATTTATGAAACATGAATAAACTATGAATTACAGATGATTACAAAACTATATCTATTATGTGTATTTGAAGTAGGTATAAACAAGGTTATGTAACCAACTAATCGATCAGTCAGTATTTTATATTGTGATGATATAAGAATAAACGAAATATGAACTATGGAATGTTAACATAAGATATATATGTTTCCCAATGTTG